TGTCTAAACCCTTCTTGGTATTCTCCGATAACTTTGTTTTTACATTTAATTAATATTTACCTAAATGTACTATTAAGTGAAGATAATAAAAAAATTTTTAAACTGATTATGTTATTTCTGCAAAAAATTAAATTAGAAGTGTGAACGAAAAGTTGATTATATGAATCTTTCTTATTGCTTTGTAGGTGTACTTGCTCGTATTTGTTGCCCACCTAATATTTGTATATTTTCCTAATAATTTTAGTATCTAAGTATTTTATAGACTACCTACTTCTAATAGTGTATACTAATATATTCTAATATACCTTTATAGTTTTCTTAGCCCATTTTGTCGTTTTTTGTAAGTCGTACAAATAAAAGCACTATTCTATTGTTTTGGCATTTCTTTCTTTTGCCAAACTGCAAATGCTAAGAGGAATATTCTTTCTTTTTACCACTTTGTCCTGTACTTTCTTTTAGGTCTCATATTACTTCTTCAACTTTATTCAGAGTTGGTTCATCGTACGTCCCTTCTTCCTCTTCTTGCCAATTACCATTTCCCTCTAGTTCCTCTTGTTGGTCTATTTTCAACAGTTCTTCAAAGTATTCCGCCATCTGTTTAATTTATCTGTACTTTCTCCTAGAAGTAAACCTTCTTTGCAATACTTTGTATTATTTTTTTTTAATTTCTTTGGATTTCTTAACTTCTTGGTAGAAATTTTTTACCTCTTTGTTTATGTAGGCTTCTTCTATGTTTTTTAATTATTGCTTTTCGAGCTGTTCCCTTTTCTTTTTTCTGCAAATTCTTTTAATTGTTTTTCTTCTAGCAACATAGTTTTCTATTTTGGATTTTTGGAACCACAGATTCTTTCAGGATTAAGATTTAGTCAAGTTTAGTTATATTGGGTTAAGTTAAGACAAGAAAAGAGAATAAAAGGCGGGAGTTGGATGCCGTTCTAGTAGGTATCGAGGAGGGGAAACTGGGTCAACAGGGTATGAAGAAGAGGTTAAGAATACAGGAATAAATGCGAGTACGAACGAGCGAGCGAGAGAGAAAAAATGGCGACAGAGCAAGTGGAATGAGGTAAATGTCGACTGAGGTACAGACGGACGTGGTGGTCACACTTATATAGTCCCAACTTCTCTCCTATTGGTCATAGAAGGTTTTTTTTAATGTGAGTTTTTTACCAGCTATCCAATGGTTGTACGTACAAGTCTGTAGCTTGGGAAATATAGAAGTTGTTTATAAGTAAAAAACATACCCCTTTTTCAAACGTTTATTTTGTAAATAAGTTCGATGAAAACGCAATATGCATTTAACTTCTGAGATAGTTTAAGTCTTAAAGAATCCTATGAAATGTGTCTAGCATCATTAATAGAGCAAGTTTAATAGTATCAATATTTAGCCTTAGAGATAAATAAATTGAATAACTTTTAAACTATTTGACTGATCGGGGGGAAATTTCGCACACATTTAAAAGACGGTTATTCCTCGATGTTCAAATGTATTAATACCATTTTATTTTATTAATAAAAAAATGAATAAAATTTATAAATGAGTGCAAAAACCGTAAATTATTTATGTCTTCGTAAATTATTTATCAATTTTAATTTAAAAAACGGGAAAATAAAAATATTCTTAATATTGTTCTGAAGCTATTTTCTTGTGGCATTGTAAATTAATTACTATTTATAACTGGGAATAAGCCACAATTAAAGATAAAAATACGTTTATTGACGTTTCAATTTCCAATTCGGAAATCGTTCTCAAAATACAATCAGTAAATTAAACAAATTTTGTTTTTTGTTACAAGTGAAAAAATTCTTCTAATAATTTAATTTTATCTGACACATTTATATTGACAATTCAGACATACATTATGCATTTTAAAGTAGACGACTTTAAAATGATATTGCCAATATTGTTGAGTTGCGCTCCTGGGACGACTTTACTTATAAGATAGTTCATTCGATTACATGAAATCAACTTTAACTTGAGAATATCCGTCAGAAAAAATCATAGCATGTAATTCATCTTTAAAAAGACAAACACATGACATGATGACAGTAAAATTCTCCTGTTAGTGATTCCATAGTAAATTATGAGGGAAAAAATAATAAAAAAAAAAATTTAGATAACCTCAATAGAAATGATGACATATTAGCGACAGTTGTCAATCTATCAAATAGACATTTAAATGCTACGGAGAATTTAATACTGTCAAAGGGTCTAAACTTTGCTATTACTCAGCCATCCGTTCCAAAATTAGACATAATAAGCTCAGTGGAGAAAATATCTCAATGCTTACCAACCCACGAAAAGGAAGAATACAGAGTGTTATGTAAACTTGAATTGGAAAAATCTACTAAAATTGAACAAAACATAAGCAAAGAGGAACTAAAGGCTATAAGAACTTTAAAAAATGACGACTCCATAATCATCCTACCAGCAGACAAGGGGAATGCAACTGTAATAATGGATAAAATTCAATACGAAAATAAAATTAAAGATCTATTAATAAACGGACCTTATACAAAATTAACAAAAGATCCAACAAAGCCTTTGGAAAACAAAATATATAGAACTTTATTCAAGTTTAAAGATGTTTTAACAAGTTATCAGAGAGGATTAATTACACCTCATTACAGTAAGACTCCTCATTTTTATGGAGTACCGAAAATTCATAAAACGAATATACCACTTAGACCCATTTGTAGTACCATGAATTCTCCTTGTAGTGAACTATCAAAATTTTTATTAAATATTTTAAAACCTTATACAAATAAAAATGACACATTCATAAAAATACACAACATTTTTTAAATAAATTATCAAATATTGAATTTAATTCAAATAATACTTTGGTAAGTTTTGACATAAATAGTTTATTTACGAATGTGCCATTAAATAAGACTTTAAGTATAGTCAAGAGAAAATTAGAGAGTGATGATTCATTGGCAACTAGAACAAGACTAAACATATCGGCTATAATGGAGTTATTAACATTATGTACTGATAATACATATTTTCAACTAAATAATGAATTCTATAAACAAAATTTTGGTCTAGCAATGGCTCTAGTTTATCTCCATTCTTAGCCGATATATTTATGGAAGATTTTGAAACAAATATCATTTCTAAACAAAATTTCAAACCCACAGTATGGTGGAGGTATGTAGATGATGTATTCTCAATATGGCCTCATGGATCAGAGTTGTTGGACACATTCCTAAATGATATAAACGATAAAGAAGAGACAATAACATTTACCATGGAAAAGGAATATAATAACACGCTACCTTTCCTGGATGTTTTAATCTCTAAGAACGATACTGGATATGAGACTCAGGTGTATAGAAAACCAACACACACCAATAGATATTTAAATTTCAAATCAAATCATAATATTAATGTAAAAAAGGGAATAATTAAATCCTTATACGATAGAGCCAAAATTACTTGCTCTAACGAAAATTCGTTCTTGGAGGAGAAACATTTGTTAACATCTGTTTTATTAAAAAATGATTATCCTTTATCGTTTATAAATAAGGAATTTTCAACAATCGATCGAATAGAACAGAACAACTTAGAACGAGATCCTACAGCATACACAAGGAATAATATGAGGAAAATAACAATACCGTACATAAAAGGATTATCAGAAAAACTTAAAAGGATAGGAAATAAATTCAACATTTCAACAACATTCAAAACAACAAACACGTTGAGATCTATTTTGTCCAAAACCAAACCTAACAATGAACAAGAAAGGACAAAGAATTGCATTTATAAAATACCTTGTGAATGCGATCAGTTTTATTTAGGTGAATCATCAAGGCCATTAAATGTTAGAATAAGTGAACATCAATCTTATATTAAAAATAGAGAATTTGATAGATCTCAAATATGTAAACACGCATGGGATAATGAACATAGGGTTCAATGGAATAATTCAAATATAGTCCTAAAAGAAACGGATGGTAAAAAAAGAAAAATCAAAGAAGCGGCTCTAATTATGCTAAATGAGGCCAATTGTGTCGCAAATTCCTCGGCAGAATGTAGTAGGATCTGGTTACCAATATTGAAAGAGGAAGTTATTAATAAGAAAATACCAGTATTAGTAAGTCAGTAACATATAGAGGATACATCATTTATGTTTTTTAAATAACGTAACATATAAAATCAGAATTTTGATGTTTGTTGAAGGTAAACTAAATTCACGAACAAATACTTACAATGTCGGGATAGTATTATGAGGTTTTTTTCCTGGTTTTTCCCTCATAATTTACTATGGAATCACTAACAGGAGAATTTTACTGTCATCATGTCATGTGTTTGTCTTTTTAAAGACGAATTACATGCTATGATTTTTTCTGACGGATATTCTCAAGTTAAAGTTGATTTCATGTAATCGAATGAACTATCTTATAAGTAAAGTCGTCCCAGGAGCGCAACTCAACAATATTGGCAATATCATTTTAAAGTCGTCTACTTTAAAATGCATAATGTATGTCTGAATTGTCAATATAAATGAGTCAGATAAAATTAAATTATTAGAAGAATTTTTTCACTATGTAACAAAAAACAAAATTTGTTTAATTTACTGTTTGTATTTTGAGAACGATTTCCGAATTGGAAATTGAAACGTCAATAAACGTATTTTTATCTTTAATTGTGGCTTATTCCCAGTTATAAATAGTAATTAAAAAATATTCTTGATATAAAAATATGATATAAATATTGTTTATGTAAAATATAAGGATAACAAACTTAGACAAAAAATCAAATTGTGACCATAAATTATTGTTTTAAAAAAACGCAAGGTAAAAATAGGAGTACTTTTCATCTATTCGTCATCTAGTAACCCCCACCTATGTTTTAAAAGCTTCAGATATCTGCACAAAATTTTGCCGTGAAATCGGTGGTTTTTGCATAACCAGACTGAGCTATATAGTTTGTAGTAAACATCATGTCACATTATGCATGCTTTTATTGAATACTTATGTCTTTCATTTTTTAGCTTGTAACCTACGAAAGGCTGAAAAAGTTCTTGTTTGCGCTATGGATAACAGCCGTTTTGTTAACATACATGCCTCTATTTGGATTTGGTATATACTACGATGCCTCAAAAGAAACCTGTATTAGGTTTAGGTATGCGACACAATCCAAGGACAAGGTTTATGCCTATATATTCTTTGCTTTTGGTAAGTCGAAGTTAAGAATTTTTTGGTTTTTATTCAACATTTTTTATATTTTTAGGGGCAACTTTATTATTATGTATAGCTTTTTGTAACACATCCGTGATCTGTGAACTTTCGAGGATAAGGTCCCAACAACGTATTTTGGTAAGAAGAATAAGCAAATCGATAATCAGCAACAGAGTTGGTGCCACCAGATATCAGACTCCGGAAGAAGTCGCTTTTGCAAAGTTAATGGCCTTTGTTTGTATTATATATGTTGTATGTTGGTCACCACAAGTGGTACGTATACTAAAATTTGAATAAATTATTAAAACGCCAATAAAAACACAAGAAAACTACATGTATATATATATATATATATATATATATATATATATATATATATATATATTAATATGATATTGTAATTTTGAAGTGTTCAATAAGAAGAGGAGTAAAAGGAATAAATAAAAAAACTCAAATTTGTGCAATACAATTAAAATATAATAGTAAAATAAACCTTTTAAAACTGTTTATACAAATAATAAAATCCCTTAATGTTTATAATAAATGGTTTCCCAAAATATATAGCTTTCACATATAAAATTACAATAGGAAAATTAGTCCAACCTATTGTATCGTCTCAATAAATTTTCTCTGCACTTTATGAAAATAATTCACTTTAATTGATTCTCTATAAAAAAAACTTCTTCCCTGGTTCTGCTTATAAAAACAGTCCTGTCGATCAAAAACAAACGTCCTGACTCACGTTTCTATCTCCTTTTGGGATTGCCCTTATCTGCTTAACTATGAATTTCTCCGGAATAATAATGCATTGGTACTTACAAATTTTGCACCCTTTTCATCCGGCAAATCAGCTTTCAAATCTTACTGACACTACCATTTTCACAAAATCTATACTTTTACTATTTTTTTTATAACGTTTAAAAACAAACACACACTTGTCGATTTGATCTTTTCTCCTTGCCGTCCAAAAAACAGATGATCACCTTTTTTTCTTCCAAAATCCTTCTCGGCTCTCAATCCCTTCCATAATTTTCTGTTGACCAATCAATCATCCTCGATTCAATTCTCCAAACACGCCAACACTCTTAATTCCCAAAATTTTGTACAAAAATATCAGACAAAGACTTTCAACTTTCTAATAATACCCTTAATGACTTGTTTCGTGGTAACCGAAATTAATCCTTGAAAAAATGCAGGTAGATTTGATATTTCGATATAACATTCTATTTACTTAAACTAATCTTAAATAAAAATCTAATTTGAAAAGTCCGAAATTTACCGTAAATCTAACATTGAAAAAGTCTCTTTTCTTCACAAAACAATATAACTTCACAACACTACAAAGTTAAACCGTATATCTAAATATGATATAACTATAACATGATTTTACAAAAAAATTTGTGTTTTCATCTTTTTCTCTATTAATTTTTCTTCATATACATTTTCGGATCATATCAATGTATATAAACAGATCACGACATTGTTTTATTGACCATACAACACAATGGCAATCGCTGTGACATGTTACAGGTTTCCACCTCTATATTCCTTTTACAGTAGGTACGAATTGTAGTAATTGTCAAATTGACATTAAAAATTTCAAACGAAGTTCTGAAAGAATAAACAAATAATTAATAAAATGCCTATTACGAAATATACCGTCCAAGACAAAGTGCAACTTATAACATGGTACTTTCAGGGTCATTCGATGCGCGAAGTTACAACAGTTAAAAATACCATTAAACATTTTCAAACTTCGGCATATGTAAACAGTTGTAAAAAGTATCATGACGGTAATGAACCAAGTGTTAGACCTGTCGATGAAGAGCGTCAAAATAGGGATATTGATGAACCCTGCAATAGTGTACAAATTGCTAGAGAAGTTAACGTGAATGCTCGAACTGTCTAGCGAGTTCTCAAAAGGAATGGGTATCACTGTTTTAACATACAACCAACCAAGAACTGTTTTCGGAAGATAACTTTAGGCGGATGGAGTTTTTAGAAATTATGTTAGTAAACAGAATGAAAATGCTCACTTTTTAAAAAATATTTTATTTTCTGACGAATCTTCATTTTCATTACATAAAAAACACAATCCATCCGTTGCAAGGTATTATTCTCGGAACAATAAGCACCTCAGTGTTGCAGTGCAAACGCAGCATCCGCAAAAGTTAAATGTTTGGACTGGGATATTAGGCGACCATATTGTCGGTCCATTTTTTATCGATGAAAACCTAAACGGGCCCAAATATTTACAACTTTTACAGAATGAGATCATTCCGGCAGTTCGACGCCTTCCCGTTAATTTTCAGGAGGTTTATTTCCAACAGGATGGCTGTTCGGCTCACAACTCTAGAGCAATTATTGACTTCCTCAACCAAACATTTCCTAATCGACTGATAAGTACATGTGGTACAATTAAATGGCCCATACAAGTAAAGGGCCACAAACCTAGTCGAATTAAGGGCAAAATACTTCGTTTCTCTGCAAGCATTACACCAGCCCTACTCCAAAATCTGTATGACAGATTTGGTTACTGTTTAGCACAATGAGGTGAAATATTTGAGCCTTTAATTCATTAATCTGCTTTCCTAATTTTTATTTTTTGTTAGGTACATTTTACGAAGTTTGTAGGTTCTTAATTAGGTAGTAGTTTTTATGTTTAAGTTTGGAAGAATTTTTATTGTTTTTTTTGTTATTTAAAAGTAGAAACAATTCTTTTTCTGATTTTTTCTCTTCTTGTCTTATTATTATAAGCTTTGTCCATAAAATTTGTACAATTTTCAATGACAAAGAATACTTATTTACTTACTTATTTATTTGTATTGCTATTAAGGCTAAAACATAACCAAAAAAAATTTTTAGAGCATTATAATAAATATACTCTAGAGATGGGATTGCAATAAATCTTAATTCCTATGGTCAACAAAACAATGTCGTTATCTGTATACTATAAACTAGATGAGATATTTTTGGGCCATCTGGTATTAAAATTCCACTCTAATAATTTCAGATAAGTTTGGTTCAGCGATCTTTGCCACTAACATTTTTTCTACGGCTTAAATATTTGTGTATTTCTATTGACTTATCGATTAGTGGAAATTTAATTTAGGGTAATTTCGTGTTGACTCTATTAATACTGTTATCTGTATTTGAGTCCAAAAAACAGCGACACTAATAAAAATTTAAAACTTTTTCAAGGAAAATCGTATGAAGTGTTGATGATAGGTAAAAGTATATATTTATTGATTTATTTTCAACGGGCTGTTGCCTGATTAACAACGTTTACGATAGTTATATTAAAATGTATTTATTTAAAAGAAATTTTCAATGTATGTGTTTACTAATTAAGAATACAATAAAACAAAATGAATTATAAACATCACAAACTTAATCACGTAGTTTTACATATCAAAATGATGACTACCTATTCCACAGCCACGCACATAAACATATGCCTGAGACCAGGGATGAATTCGGCCTTCGGTGCAAAAATATCTAGATCTGGGTGAATATTTGCCTATTCTAGTGATCGAGATAAAACATTATTATATGCATAGTTGGTTCTGCGAAGAGGAACATAAAATATTTGGTTTAATCGTGTTCTACGGAAAGAGATTTTATTGGAAACTTTGGACTGGTCACCCGTAACGAGAGAGGAGACAGATTGGCTCAATTCTGCTAAGAGACCGATTTTATTGTCGCGAATACTTATTATGATCTGCCGCCCAGGAGACTCTATACATGGAAATCTCCAGCAGACAACCTACATAACGTCATCAGAAACCAAATTGACTACCTTCTCATCTGCAAACGATACCGAAATTCCATAAAATCAGTAAAATTATACTGATGTGAGATCAGATCACAACCCAGTTATAGGAAGATTTAGAATTGATCTAAAAAAGCTTGTGGCTTAAACTTAAGTAGAGAGGATACAAGCATCCCGTTTGAGAGATCCATTAACAAAAGAGCAAGTCAAACTAAAAATTAAAGAAGAGCTCACCAAAATAGTATTATTCCTACTGAAGATGCGAACAGGAAATGGCATATGGTAAAAGATGCGCTTATACGCACATGTGAGGCAACACTAACACCTAAGCTGATCAAGAACAAAAATGAATGGATGTCCGATGAGATTCTGGATCTCATGGAAGCAAGGAAATCTGATAAAACCAAAGACACAAAAACATGTATAATGTTATACAGACAGAAATAAGGAGAAAGATGGTATAGTGACAGATGCGAAGGGATTGAACAGAACGGCAAAATAATTATAGATGTCGGTGAAAGGCTTAAAAGATGGCAGGAATATATTCAAGAGCTATTTAAAGACGAACGGACTGAGATAGTACTAGAGCATGAAAAGTTTGACAACGGCCCAGACATAACAAGAGATGAGGTATTAAAGGCGATAAAGCAACAAAGAACAACAACGCAACAGGTCCTGACGAAAATATCTGTAGACATAATAAGTTTAATAGAAGAACGGCAAATTGAAATATTGGTCGACTTAATATACAGTACAGGAATCATTCCCAGAGATTGGCTGATGTCAATATTCATAACACTACCAAAAATCCAAATGCAAAAATGCAGACCCGGTAAAAGTAATGAGTCATAGCTCAAATATTTTTAAAAATTATACACCGGAGAATACACAACAAACTTGAGCAGGACATAAGTGACACACAATTTGCATTTACAAATGCACTGGGAACGAGGGAAGCCTTGTTCGCTGTGAATGTAGTTGTGCAAAGGTGCATGGATGTTAATCAGCCAGTATATATGTGTTTCTTGGATTACAACAAAGCCTTCGATAAGGTCAGACATAACCGAATTATTTGAAAAGAAAAACTTAGATATGAGAGACATTAGGATCACTAGCGCTGTCTCTTATAAATCTGTGATAAAAGAGAACAATGTCTTTTTAAATGAAATACAGATTAAGAGGGGTGTCAAGCACTGCTGTGTCCTGTCTCCTACTTTGTTCAATTTGTATTCAGAGGAAATAATACAGGAAGCACTAGAAGAACTAACTGTGGGAATAAAAGTAAATGGCCAACGAATCAATAAATATACTGTTTGCCGACGACACTATTTTATTAGCGGAATGTCTTGAGGATTTACAACAAATGGTTGACAGAGTGGTAGAAGTCAGTGAAGTAAACGAACTGTCCCTAAACACAAAAAAATACACAATTTATGGTAATTACAAAAGCCCAACAGCGCCAAGAAAACAACAATACACGGAGAACAAATTAAAAAAGTTGAAAAATATAAATATCTGGGTACAATCATTAACGAAAATAATGAGTACACAGAAGAGATTAAGGCAAGAATAGGACAGGCAAGAAATTCTTTCAACAAACTGAAAAAAGTACTCTGCAGCAGGGACATTTCAATTTCTTTCAATATAAGACTTCTGAGATGCTACGTGTTCTCCGTATTATTTTATGGGTTGTAGGCTTGGACATTAAAGCAAGATGTTTCGGACAGATTAAAAGCCTTCGAGTTATAAGCTTACAGAAGGATATTAAGAATAAGTTGGGTGGATAGAGTCACGAATGTCAAGGTGTTGAGAAGAATGAGAAAAGATAAAGAGGTTTTTAATATAATTAAAGTCAGAAAACTGTAATATCTGCGACATGTCATGAGGGACGAACGTTATAACTTGTTGCAATTAATAATGCAAGGAAGAATACAGGGTAGAAGGAGTCACAGAAGAAGACGCATTTCCTCATTTAACAATTTGAGAGCTTGGTTACTGCATTCTGCTGACCTCTTTAGAGCAGCGGTAAAAGTGCGAATTGCCATGATGGTTGCCAACCTTCTTAGAGGAGATGGCACATGAAGAAGAAGACGGAGAGGTACATGTAGACCAACCTGCTCAAGTAGCTGAGAACACAAGACTGTAGAATTAATTATACCATAAAGCATCTTTGCATCTTTAATTAATCGTCGGTCGGTCATACAATGAGAGAATACCAAGTTGGGTTTTAATTTGATCATAATTTACTTGATTTTAATTCAAAAGCCATACCTTGTTTATATGCTACATATTTCAAGAACTTATGTTGGACTTTCTCGATTTTTGATATGTAAATATTATAAGATGGAGACCATATACAAGAACAATACTCTAGATGAGGTCTAACTGAACAACAATATAGTAATTTAATCGCTGCTCCCTTCAATATTCTGAAAGTCTCTAGTGCATATTTTTATAAAGCTAAGCATTTGTAAAGACTTGGAAATTATTGACATATAACGCGATTCAAATAAAAAATTTAGAGTCTAAATTAATTCCCAGCTCACGAATTTTCCATTGGGTCTCTCGATCGTCCAAAAGAAACAGCGTCACACTTAGATGCATTTAGGGCCATGGCATTCAATATACACCACTCACTCAACCGATCAAGATCATGTTGAAGATTAACACAATCTTCTATATTATTGATAATTGTGTAGAAGTTTAGATCATCCGCAAAAACAAAAGGTGAACTGTGCTGGAAGTAGTGGAGTATATCATTGATGAATATGTTAAGTAACAGGGGCCCAAAATGAGAACCCTGGAGTACTCCTGAATGAACCTTAATCTCACTGGAAACAAAATCCCTAATAAGCAACATCTGAACTCGGTCAATAAAGTATGATCCAAAAAGTGGACCATCAACAACCATTTTTTGAGTTTAAATAGTTTAAAACGTAAAATAAATGGTTTGACAAATGATAATACAGTTGTCCCTTGATAATCAGACAGGTATGGGACCAAAGGGGGGTCGGATTACCAAAAATTGTCCTGATAACCGAAAGTGATTATATATTTGGTATTGTTTTGCTAGCAGTAGCCCACAATATTCTTAAATTTTATGAGTAAAATGCTACCCAGATGAATATGCAAGTGAAACACCTATTTTGGCTAACTAAGACATGTTTATTAAAAGAAATATGTATGCTAATAAATTTAATGTACATACACTGTGTAAACAATAACTCATAAACATTATACGTACTAATGACTAAATGCCGCAACTAACGTAGATTAATTATGTACATAGGGATGTAAATATATACTGTGCTCACACTTTGAAGATATCTTTAATTGTCTTTTGCTTTTGCTTGTTTAGACCAAAGTGTTTGCAGCCAATATAGCATCATCACAGTTGATGGTGAAAGATTTTTCATCCTGTGCTTCCTGGGTCGTCTTCATCAGATTCTGTCATTTCTTCATTGTTAAGGCATGGAGATTGTCATCTAGTAAAGCTTCTCTTGATTCTGATGAATTAGTCATATCGTTGAAAATTTAAGGGCAGCATCTAGTACAACTTGCATAGGTTGATCATTAGATTCTTTGTTAACTTCTATTGGAACGAGTGGGTTGTTGTGCCAAATATTCTTCCACGATTTAATCAGTGTAGTAGGCTTGACTTGCTGCCAGACAAACGCAGCATTGATAATCGCATCTTTGATGTTAAAGATTTTCAAATCAGAATATCCGGGAGCATTGTGTAGCAAGAGGAGGGCGTTTACTGTCAGTTTTTTTTCTTAGCTCATATTTAAGTTGTGGCAAACTTAGTTGTATTCGAGCGTGTCGGATTTCAAAACGTCGGAGTATCAAGGGTGTACTGTATATATCTATCAACGTATGCTTTAAAAACTCACACAACTAACATGTCAAACTAGTAGCCTTGCGCTCTAGCTATCTTTTACTTTCTCTTTGATACCTCACGTTTTTCATAGCTGGCAACCCTAATTTGCGACCATTTTTTCTCAGATAACCTTATATCAACATATTAAGAAAAAACTGGCTTTCATTTGATATAACAAACTTGCATTAACTTCTTGACATACACACATGTAAAGACTTTCTATTCAGAGTTTTCTTACCAAAACTGTTTTTTCGTCTGAAGTGACAATTTTTTTTAAAGTTGCCGTCAGTTTAGACCGAATTCAGCGTTATAAAGTTGTCAGATTGGTCTAATTCGTGACTTTTCTCAAATTCTGATAAATTCAGATATCTATGACTCATCTTTGAATGGTGATCTTAATTCCTGATAAAAAAGCTAAGCTTTATTTTTTAAAATGTCACCTGAAATACGAGCTTGTCTGTTTCATTGTTTAAGCCAGATGTGGAATGCCATTTTAAGGGTTTTTCTGTTCTTAGAATCATTCTCTACAGATTTCATAAATGTTTCGATTTTGCCTTTGTTTGTTATAATGTCGTACACTGTAGTCATCCCATATAATAGACTAGATATCGCAGTGAGAGTTTCCCTACACTCGCATCTCTTAATAATATCCCATTTATCTTTTAGAGTCAGATTTATGCTTTCGTTTTGAACTTGTACTCGCCATTAAACTGAACTGTCTAAACGAATTAAATCAAAGTTTAGCACTATGTATTATTGTATCTAAAAACCCTATCGAGCCGAACTGCTCATGGAAAACACACTCAATGAAGCATCCGGTAAGAACGAGATTCATGTAGCGACAGGTTTCAGTACATGGTGGCGACCTTCACGAGGAGGTGCGTCAAATTATCGAGCGTGTCTGACTTCAAAACGTCGGAGTATCAAGGGTGTACTGTATATTTTTATCAACGTATGCTTTAAAAACTCACACAACTAACATGTCAAACTAGTAGCCTTGCGCTCTAGCTATCTTTTACTTTCTCTTTGATACCTCACGTTTTTCATAGCTGGCAACCCTAATTTGCGACCATTTTTTCTCAGATAACCTTATATCAACATATTAAGAAAAAACTGGCTTTCATTTGATATAAAAAACATGCATATACTTCTACTACTACACACATTTAAAATTTTATTAAGAGTTTAGGGGTCATTAATTATTAAACTGTATATTCAATATGCCATAGTATATATTTTTATTTTAACATATTCAATATGCCATTTTCTGTTTTTAGACCATTCTTATGACCTTTCTTTGCTAAGATATTTAATTTTAAAAAAGGTTAAAACATTGAATATTATTCAGAGAAAGTAAGATTATAGTAATTTTAAACATTTATTATTTTTTAGATGACAGTACCGATTGCCCAGTACTTTCAGTTGCACAGTTTAGCAGATGAAAAGTTGAGAACATTTTTTTTGGTGGCTGATACTGGATTGATCATATATTTACTGCTGGATCCCTTCATTTATGTGCTTCAAGGATACTTTGAAGGGCGTTTAAGGGTTAATTGTTGCAGCAGACAGTCAGATAGTAATTTATCCATTCCTTCAATAACGAAAACACACCATTCCGACATATCAGTTTCAATACCTTTTGATGTAAAGGATTCCAAACCCGATGATGAGTTCGTTGTTATGAATTCTATAAAATCTACTTAATTTTCGAATGTGATAACAAAATAAAAACGTTCTACACTGTATAGGTTTAAAGCGATAAGTTGGACTTAAATATGTTTAAATATTTTTTTAAATATTTGTAAGATCTGTTTTATAACATTGGCGAAAAGCTAAGTGTAGTTGGTTTTATTTTAAAAACTTATCTGTTAATGTAGAAGGGGAGGTCTTACAACAAATCCTACATATTATATAGATCTTAGATATTAATATACACACTGTTTTGAAACTCCTTTGGTGTTTGAATATACCACAAATTTTAAAACAAATACTTTTTCGTTAATACTTTTTTAAATATTGTATTCTGATTCAGAGACTTTATTTTATAATTTATTTCATTCATAACATAACACTATTTGATATCGAAAAGACGTATGTACTTTTCCGTTTATTGCCAACAAGCTGTTATAGGATTTTCTAGGACGTCCTAAAACATAAATAAACATAGTTAATATGTAGTCAATACATTATTACAATATAATTAATTGTAGCAAATGAATATTGAGAGTAATATACTGTAACCAATTTTGTTGAATGTCCAGAGATCCTAGCATTTCAAGTAGCAAGATTTAATAAAATCAATACAAATATTTGTATAATAAAATTATACATATTGAAAATAAAATGATAAATATTTATTTAACAAAGTTTACGTAAATAAATGAATTAACCTCTTTTAAAGACAAACAGATTTGAACCCTTTACCGCATGGATTTTTGTTTTTTGTCAAAAATAAATTTTCAGATAAGAATTTTCGCGTAAATATAATAAAAAAAACTTTATTGACAAAAAATTTTTTTTGGTGCCAAATATGGAACATTATGCAACAATATAATATTAAAGTCAAACTAGTTTGAAGCTACAGTACAGTAAGGTCTCGTTGTATGCGGTGGATATGATCCACAGAGAAGCGCATATAAAAAAATCGCACAAAAAAGACATCACTTTTCTTGAAAAAGTAGGGATTAAGTTCCGTAGCCTTCTAAAATTACATAAAATCAAGACAAAAACAAAAACGTTTGCTTTGCTTTGCAGAAATTAAAAGAAATAGGCTGCATAATAAATTACTTCAAATATCTGAAAGAAATTCATACAAAAGCTTAAAAAAACTTGTATTCAAAACTTAAATAATAATTTTATTTTATGGGAAAGTAATAGGTACATATGGTTTTACATTTACATTTTTAATCATTATCTCTATCTGATAATGATTGGCACCGTTTGCGAAGTGTCTCAAAATCATCTTCATCGTCAGAAGAAACTGTCTCTGCAATAATCTTCTTACCGAAGGCCGAATTAATTTGGCAGTGAAGGGGGTTGGTTTTTCTTCCTCATCATTATCATCGTCTAGACCCACGACGCCAACTAAAGTTAGATCTAAAGTTTGATCAATTATATCATGGTCACTTATTGCATCATCCACAAGCAATTCATCTATATCATCGTGGCTGAAGGTTAAACCTCTCCAATTTCATGTGCCAAATTAATTATCTCATCTGATAGTGTCGATGTTTTAATGGTTGCATTGCTTGTTACACATGCTGGCCAAACCTTTTTCCAACAGGCATTTAAAGTTCTTGGTCTTATTTGAGTGAAAGCAGATGCATCATGAATCAAACAATCAAAAATAGAAAATTGTTTCCACACGTCTTTTACTGTTAAGGCTCATTTTCTAGTTTACTCACGATGAATTTGTAAGTTGCTTTTATGTAATATTTGTTAAACGTTGCAATTATGCTTTGATCCAATCGCTGATCAGGCTTGTTGTATTGGGTGAAAGAAATACTATTTGAACATTTGGATGTTCTAAGTGTGGATGACCTGCTGCATTGTCAATAATTAATAAAACTTTAAAATCGAGAGATTTTTCCTTTATATACTTAGGCTTCTACTTCTGGCACAAAGTATCTATTGTACCATTCTGTAAAAATAGCAGTTGTCACCCAGGCTTTCTGGTTAGTCATCCAATGTACTGGCAGTTGTTTTAAATATTTGCCTTTTAAAGCACATGGTCTAAGAGATTTATTTATTAAAAGGTAGATTTATTTATTAAGTAAGTTTTAACATCCATTCTCCTGATACATTGCTACAAAGTAATGTTACTTGATCTTTACTTGCTTTATGTCCACTTGCAGTATTTTTATCTTTTGCAATGTAAGTACGGTTAGGCATGAAACTAATGACTACGACACTAATTTGAAGCGTTTTAATCCGAAAACCGTGCTGCTTATTATACTGCAACTTGGAATCAGTAAAATTATTATTAAACAACTTATTATAAAACGAAGCACCACTAAGAGAAAAGTTATTTTAGAACAATAACAGGTTATATCTCAATGTGAAACTCGCAATGATGTAATAGGCACTAGGGACATCGTGTAATAAGGGAATCCCCGAATTGCAAACGCTCACTTTACTGACATCTGGATGAAAATAGTTAATATTTAATTATAATAGTTAATAATATAAATTTTTCGATGAAATACAAACCGCACAACTTTAAAATCGCATAAAAATAATCCGTATAAAAAGAGACCTTACTGTATACACTGAGCAGTACGAACCTACAAATAACAGTTTCTTTCTTTCTTAAGAAAGAAATCTAATTTCTCATCTAATTGGGGAAATGATCAAACCCATTTTTACGGATGTCTTCTTGGGGTATTTGTTTAGTGGGTCCCTCAAATTTCTTCTCTATTCTGGCTAATAACCAACAGTTCACGGCTGTCATATCAATGAAATGAAAAAATATTTGTAAATAATATTTCTTCGACCTGATTTTTGTACGATAAAATCATAGCATGGAATCAACGAGATGTACACCTCTCATGTAGTTGTTGTAGATAAGGACACTGTTAGGACAAGGTATTATTTTATGTGTACTTTCTTGTTTAAAAAATCTTCTTTTTCTCCATTTGGTTCACTTCCAGCATATGTTGACATTGTAGTAAGGATTTTATTATCAAACCCAGTTTTAGTGTCAGTGTAGTGTCACTACACTGAATCCACATTGTGCATATTGGCTCTTTTCAAACAAATCAAAGTCATAGCAGAATCCCGAAATACCACTCAGCACAAAGTTTTTGAAGCCTTTTTGAAGTTATACTGCTTTAGCTGGCTTCGCGCTTTTGTTGGTATAGGCTGTTCTTCTACAGCTAGAAATTCTTCTTTCGGAACCATGAGTAGCCGTTCTTTGATTTGACTGAGAACAGGTCTAATTTTGAGTAATCTGTCAGATTCAGGTTGATCATTTTCAATCATGTCATCATTGTTATTGAAATACAAGACACGTTTTATTTCTTTGAATCTGTTACAACTCTATCACATCGGTGAGTGCTAGATGACCAATATTGGCATTCCAATAGTATCTTGTTGATGGAAGTTGAATTATTGACATGTAAATAGTAATTTCTAGAAATTGTTCTATTTCGTATTTTTTTATTAGCGGGTTTATCTGGACGTTGTTGCACTGAGTATAAATTTGACTGTTCTGTGATAATGCTTCTATAAGATAACTAGGAAATGGAAACTCAAAAAATTGGACCAAAGTTTCCAATTATAAAATCGAGAAAGGTCAATTTTTAGAACCAGTAAATTTTGTATCATTTTCTGATCTTCTTAGATTCCCTTTCCCGCAATCATAAGATTTCTTCTTTTTATATCGCAGTCTTTCAGGCAAAGAGATGATCATCTGAGGAATCTGAGGTTGTGGCAGGAATGAGAGTTTTCTTGACATTGCTTGGTAAATCTTGACGCTCCTCATTGTCACTATCTTGACACAATAGCATCTTATTTGTGCCATCTTCATCGGACAAATCTGATTCTTCACTATTAGTACTATCTGGTATTAGAACTGCAATCATTGTATCATAAAATAGTTTTGGATCCATATCTACAAAAACAATCAATGAGTCCATAACTTCATAGTATACCATAATAGGACAAACCTATAGTACTCACCTGAGAAGATATCTAATATCACAATACAATGAAATTTAATTTTTTTTTGCCGTAAAAACGTTCATTACCATGATCTTTAAACTTCTAACACTGTTTCACGTGGTTCAGAATTTCCATCCCTGCCTATCTATTAGTACTTGAAAGATATGAGCTGTCATCCTGCTACGACAAAAATTAAGTTAGAACATTAAAAATTTTTTTTTGATTTATGCCATTTATGGCACATAATGCGGTAAAGGGTTAACCGAAATTAAATTAAAGAATTAATAAAGAACCAGTGCCTGAAATACTTAAGAACAGATTAGAATAGATTCATATTTATTTTGGTTTCTACATTGATATTTTTAAAATCCTGCTGAGCATATATGTGTTTGGAGATCATAAGCTTTCATGATCGATGCCCTGTAATGATAACGTCTTTTATTCTGTTTGAGATAATCAAACTCATTAAAAATCAAACTCCCAATTACTTATAAGTACGCAACTCAAGCTGCACGTAAATAATTGCGTAACAGAAAAAATAATACGAAGTGTAGGCAGGACTTTATAATGTCAGTAATGTTATTCAATGTTTATTCAGAAGAAATAATTCAGAGAAAGCCCTGGAGAAAAAAGTAACGGGACTAACAACTAACGGTCACCCCATTTGTGTTATTAGATATGTAGATGACACCGCGCTTCTTGCAGAAAATATCGACGTCTACAGAGATTATGTACTATATAAACTAATAGAAACAAAGGAAAAATTTGGTTTGTCACTAAATACAAAGAAAACAAAATTAATGATAAATAAAAACGTATCAACAATATCAACTTTTACGTTAATATTTCTTTTTTTTAATTAGCCCACCTTTAACCACTCGTTTTCTATTGTAACGTAGTTGCACGCATATGAGTGCCACCCTCACCTACATAAATTCTACTTATTTAGAGAAAGAATGAATGCCAGGATGTATAAAATTATAATGGTTTATACTTACATATAATAGAAAGTCTTTTAAACCAAAATATTTTTATTAATTTAACCAATCAAAGTGATAAAATATTGTAAATCAAAGTTTTAGAACTAACGAATAAATAAATCAAAAACAGAAACAGATATATAGATAATAAACAAATAAGATTAGGAACACACACACACAAATGACAAGTTTTAAAAATAATGTACGTATCGAAAGATAATGAATGCATCTACACAGTCTATCATTGGAATTAAAAAGTGCTCTGTACTTATCTGTGACGGTGTTAATGTAAATACGTTTTTCTGGATTA